GTTACCATGGGAACAAGGCTGTGTAGAGAATTCGTATAGAGCTCTCTCTCTAATGTTCAGTTTTATATATCAAAAAACTTTTATTTTTTCTGTGTAAAGGTCAAATCTGTTTCCCCTGAGACTGATGTTTTCTACTGCTATAGATTAACACCCATTGACTGAGACGTTGCACTGTGACAGGCCGCAAGCTTTTTTTTTTTTTTTCTGTTTGGACACACCGTACATTGGATCTGGATCCCCAGCCTCACTGAAGGTCAGGTGAATGTGACCTTATCTCTGAAACCTGGGGGCCGAACCTAACTGGCTCCTCTGAGAGAGTGCGGGCTGTAGGTTCTATCAGCTGATTAGCTTGAAAGGTTAGGAGGGCTGCACTCTTGTCTCACCATCTGCGCCGTGCTGCACTACTACCACATTAGGGATCTTTAAACAGATGGTTTGAGGGCTGCATTGGAAAATGTCAGGACAAATAGCCATCCCCGGATAATTACTGTTTTGAGCACTCCCCTTCTTAATCTGCATCTCTTCCTGCCTCTAGCTTTCTCGTTTTATATTTTGGGATCTTTTTTCCTTGGCTACCATCCTCTCTTGCACTTTCTTCTCCCTAAATTGTCTCTCATCTCTTTCTCCTGACTGCTAGATTAACGGGCGCCGCTTTGAACATAGACAGAAAAGTTATCGAGCCATCTATTGAATTCATCCTGCACTCTGACACTTTCTCTCTGTCAGTGTGAGGAGGACTGATGTGCTAATGTAGCAACAGCAGGAAACTGGTTGTCCTCTTGTAGCGACTAAAGCACGGCTGTAGAATGTCAAGTAGGAAGCAGGACCACCGGATGTTTTTGTCTTTTTTTTCTGTTTCGTCTTCAGTCTGCCACCTTGTAGCCTCATAACCTCTGTGTCTCCATCTCTGTCTTTCTATTTCAGTCTCTCTTTCTGCAGCTTCCGTGCTCACAAATGCAGGTTACAATCACACGGACAGGGATACATGTGAAGGAGGAATTATACATCTGGCATCACTGCTAACATTTCGATTTCTTGCCTCCTGGTAGCATGACGATTGGTGGGCAGCAGGAGAAGGAGAAACGAGAAAGAGGTGATAGACGGAAGCAAAGGAAAGCATGTTTATCTTTAAATCCATAATGGGGTTCTTAGGGAAAGAATAGAATTTGGCTCGGGTGGTATCAACTTTCATAAATATTGGCTTGAAAAACCTCCTCAGGTCACAACAAGCAAACATAATCTCAAAAAACTCAAAAAAAAGGAGCAATTTAGCCCCTAAAACAGCAGGAGCCTTCGTTTTTGCGGAGCACAGAGCACGGATTTCATTTGGGCTGAAAATGACTGAGATATTCTCCTTTTTTGCTGTGATTGGTGATGGATGAAATGGATTCAGATGCTGCAATCTTTAAAGGCTTTTATCTCCAAGCACTGGGGGAAAAGGAGATGCAAGAATCTGCATGACGATCACTATCCTTCTCGTCCCTCGTGGTTGGATAATATGCGGCACACATTACCTCAAAACGTAAGCTCACATTTATGTGCTGTGTGTGTCCTAAATCTTTTTTTTTTTTCTTCAAAGTTCCACATGGGTTAATTCTCACAGGAAATGAAAAGAAAGACAAAAATAATGAAAAAGGCAGCAGAAGCAGAAATCTACCAGTCTGAAAATAAATCAATTCTTCTTGAACAGTTGTTTCATTCATATAATTTTTTCATTAAAAGTTTCAAACCATAGAAGATGACTTTTTTTTTTTTTTTTTTACTAAACCATAGAAAATACACATAAAGAGTTGACACAGAGAATGTAAGAGGAATGGGGTTGTTGAACTGGAACCTGAAAAAAGCAAAGAGGATGGCACATATCAATGAGCAGCTCTTCCGTTGTCCCCCACCCCCTAAAAACAACTTAAATAAAAAAGGAAAAACAGAATAAGAGATAGAATGCTTCCATCATCCATTAGAAGGGAAAAGGAACTAAATGAAAGCAGGGTGCCTAGGGGGGCTACCAGTGTGAGAAACCTCAGTGAGATGTTTTTTCCCCTTGCTATAAAAAGAACTTAACGGTGCAGAAATATTCTTTTTCTTTTTCCCCCCAAAAATCATCAAACAATTGAAGGAGATTTTCTTTTTTCTCCAGAATAAAATCAAGACATTTTTCTCAGAAATAAGTTTTTCATAGTTTTCTTAAGTTCATTTAAAAATTTCCCTCAGTCCCAGACGTGCCACGCCCCTGTTCTTTCTTCTCAATAGTCTTTGCGAAAATATAGGGTAGAACAGTCTTCTTTCCATGTCTGTCCGCTTCGTCAGTAAACAAACAGTATGGGATCCGACAGAGCACATTGCAGGAGACGGGGAGCAGTGTGTTGTGAGATCTTTGCGAGAAATCATGTACTTATGTATAGCTTTTCAAATGTTTGTCTCTGCATGAGCATGTGTGTATTCAAGTGAATGCGTGTACGTGTGTGTGTGTGTGTGTGTGTGTGTGTCTTCACACTTCAGTCTGGAAGTCTCCCTCAGACGAGTCAGGCGTGTTAGCGGAGGAGGAGTCCCAGTTCTTATTGTGCAGCTCCATCCGGTCCTTCTGCTCCCCAGGCACGATGGACAGCTCGGGGGTCATGGTCTTGAAGCTGTCCCACGAGCTCTGGTCCTCCGGGGTTGACTTGTCCTGATGGAGGAGGAGGACAAGGAAAAGGGCCATGTATGCAAAAAAAAATAGCCGGCATATGAAGACATCGCGGAAATATAACAAAGACAGTGTACAAGTTCTGGTTTAATACAACCTGGGTCTTATTCTGATGGGTTTGGACACGATCTTGATCTGTTCTAATAACAGTGGTGACATCGTTGAAGCGATGTCCGCCAGAGCAAGAAACACGAGAATTTAGATTAGCCAAATTTATTTGGAAGACAAAATGAAGACGAACGGGCCGACTTCAGGCCAGATTACCAACCGAAGAGAGCAACTTTCTAGGGGCCTAATCAGATTCTGCACATCAACCAGAGATCCAAGTGTGTTATGATAGTAACGGCTAATGTAGGGTTGAGCAGCTAGCGGGCGACGTAGGTCAGGTAACCTCACCTCTTTCTAACTTCTTGCCTCCAGATTTTTTTTTCTTCAATCCTGCAGTCTTCATCACTTCCCTCGGGATTCACAAAACACTTTACAAATGCAGCACTAATCCCTGGAAACTAAATTTGATGTGTTAATGTCTGAGTTCACCTTTAAATATGTCCAGTTGGTATTATACTTAGTGCATATTGTAAATTAAATTAACTTTCAATCAAATTATGACCACATTACCTTTGGAACCAGGAGGCGGAGAATATCTGGCCCACACTTTTTTTTATCCTGGGGCACCCTGGTAGGTGACTATGTCCCTGACTTCCTACCTCAATCTTGACCTACTGTATTTACCGTAGCTGTGTAAACACAGTTTTTCTGTGCAATGATGGATTAATAGAGGAATTTTGCCTCCACTTACTTTTGGTTTAATCTCCAAATAAAGTGGATTCAATGATCCCACTGAACTGTTTGCTTGTTTCCAAAATGACTGCATGTGTTTCTTGGCATGTCGGACTGCAGCAATGCCATTCCCAAATATCAGCAATTGAGTTTGGTGGGGACAGTGTTAGCAATACGGATGCAAATGATGGCCATTGAAAGGAGACCCAAATTGTAATAAACTGGAATTGTCCTTTAAATGAAGTACTTGGAAACCATTTCTTCGGCCAGTACACAGATTTACAGATGGAGTCATTCAAATATGCATTTACAGAAGCTTAATTTGATCCTTAACCTTTGCAAATATCAACAAACATACACACAGAGATGCACAAAGAGGCAAACCACCCAGGGCCATTTTTTAGAAGAGATTCAACCTCACACACATTAGAAAGCAGGACCATACACACCTGTAGTTTAAGGCACATTTCCATCTTTCTATCATCAAAAACTACTTTTGTATACAGAAACGATACCTGTCCTCCTTTATCTCCCACCTCTCCCAATCAGTGATTTTTCAGACTGATAAAAGCATGAAAACCTCCGAGGCTGGGGTCTGTGATCTCTGCATGTGGTCCGCAGATGTGCCCACCATGCATGTAAAATGCATGTTGGGGGATTAGTTAAAAACGGAATAAGAGGTATGAATCAGATAAGGGCCATTATTCAAATCAGACTCATTATCTCGCGGAGATAATGATTTCACAGATACGAGCTGGGAAAGACGTGAGGGATCGCTGGCCCAGATGACTCTTGGTGGAAACCTGACAAGGCAGACTACCACAACCTTTGGACTACATGGAGCTGAATATTCACATTAAGAAGAGGAATATTCACAGAGCATATCTTCCAGTTTGCACATCTGAAATGGGTGCTCTATGTTGGTACATAGCCTACGTAATCCATTCAAGCAACTCAGCTATCCCCGTCTTTCATTTTGTCTTCTTTTTCCACAATCCCACCTTCCCTTCATCACCTTAACTCTCATGTATTTCACTTTGAGCTATTCACCCCCTCAATCCCTGTCTCTCTCTTCAACACATCCACACACACACACACACACACACACACACACACACACACACATGCATGCACACATGTCTGTGATCTGCAGTAACACAACACTCCCTTCCTCCCTTGCAGTGTGATGATCGTCGCCGGAGCGCTAGGGGGCAATATCTGCCTGATTATCATCCTCCCTGCGTCACAGCCTTGACAGTTGGTAAAATGAATACAAAAGGCATAATCTGGGAGCCAATTTGCATGCTAAATGCTGGCGAAGGAACATTTTGTAATGCAGGAGTGTGGGTAATTTTGCAGTTAAGCCCAACTTTATCCCTGGGAGACTAGGCTAACGCGATTGTGCTGCTACCGCGTGTCTATCCGTTCCCTTTCGCCATCTCTGCCTGCCTCCACTCCCTCGTTGCCCCAAAGCCCCATCTCATCCCACTCCTTCTCCCCCTTCACTCTGCCAGAAACCCCTCTACTTACACTCGACGAGTTCTTTTCACCTCCGGCAGACGAAATGCTCCATCGCTTTTCCCTCTGTGGTGATGAAATGGGAGGGAGAAGACGAGGGGATGACGAGAGAGACAGAGAAAAAAAGAAATAGAGAGAAGAAGAGGGGGGATCACAGTCACTGACAACTCTGCCTTGAAACAATAGCATTGTTCCCACACCTTCAGCAGGTGAGCAGGCAGTTGTTGCTTTGTGCTTACATCTTACCCTTCTTTCTCTCCATCTCTCAATCCCCCTAACCAGCTCTCATGACAAAATATATGAACAGAAACAAGTGCTCCAGCACGCATACGTGAGCCTGGTTATGCACACAAAATCAAACTGTGTTGGAACAGGCAAAGGCATTTTTTAACGTCCTCACCATAGACTGTATGGAACAAAGCAAGGGCTATGCATGCACCACTAATAGCAACTACAACTATCGTAAAAAGGGTAAAAGAAAGGACAGCATGTGAGCGTATGAGTAATCTGATTCTAAAAGCCGTAAGCTGAGCAGTGCTGGAGGCTTTGGAGCTCATGTTTTCTAAATAATGTTGAACGAGGATAACAAATATGGTTATTAGTGCACGGAAAGGCTATCTACACTATCTACATTATTGATTTTTTTTAATACTGTATGTGTTAACGCATAAAATAGTTAATGCTAGGCTATAAAGTGGACATTGCTGACTCTATATGTTCTGCCTCTGGCTCAAACACAAACATTACTCGCCCTGCTGTACCCATGCAGTGTTATGAGGTTTTTTTTATGTTCCTGTCAGCAAAGTGGCTGTTTTTGTGGTCTGATGTTTTTTTTGTCCGACGTGTACAGGTGTTCTGAAGTAACAGGTGTTATTTTAGTTGGCTGGCCAGGGTGTGAGCTTATGATGGGTCCAACAGCACCAGCGCAAAAAAACAGAAAAGTCCTGCAGTGTTTGGTAAAGCCGCTCTCTCTCTCTCTGGCCTGCTGCTCTAAACAGTTACGTGTGTTTCATGAGATGTTTCTTTTGAGGGAGCAGGGGTGCCAGTCGTGTCATTTGTACTTTCTATGTCTGTCAGAAGTTTGGGCAGAAATGGATTGCATTCAGTGGCTCCAACAACTTCACGAATATTGACTTTATTGACTTGTGCTTTTGTCCCCCAGCTGCAAGTATTCCAGTTAGTTGTAAAGTCTCTACCTAAATAATACACAAAATTGCCAATCATTCTATCTCGGAGAGTTGTTTCTGTGCGTGTAAGGGACTGTCTACAGTAAATGGGTAAGACACAAAGACACACTTTTTGGTGTTGGTGTGTTAGATTGAAGATTCACCCACTTTGAGATTAAAGAAGTTTCTAGGCTTCAACACATTGCCTTAGGGTGTTATGATTTACCGCCCTATGTGACATGCTCATTAGCTGGCTTTATCCTACATGTTGAACATGCATAGGAAATTTGGATTTGCAATTGATATACAACATTTTGATTATTTTTGTTGGCATATTGTCAGTGGCATCAGTGGTATATTTTAAGTGCAATACTTGAGGAAATGAATTTACTCAACGGTACTACAAATTTATGGGACTGGCAATATTTTTACTCGGCTAGATTTATCTGGCAGCTTAAGTTTGTTGCTTTACAGATTAAACTGTAGATCCTAAAATAAACTAATGTAGTTTATTCACCAATTGTTTCTCTCTCTCTGTTTTCCTTGCCATTAATTGTTTCTTTTAGTTTCTCTCTTTCACTTGCTTCCCATTCCCGTCCCCAACCATATGCAGCATTTGTAAATTTCTACACCATGTAACAAGCTTCTGAAAAAGCCAAGTTGTGCCTACTGTATGAACATTATCCGCCATCTGTAATAGGCTGAATTTATAGCTGCCAGACTTTTTCCTGGTCAATTTTAATCACCATAATAAGCACCTTATTATTTCTGCTTTATCAGCATTCAACACATTTAACGTGATTCAAATAATTAACCCCTAAAAGCACTGCTTGTGCATTATCATAGGTTTTCAATCACTGATTCTGTATCTAATCAACGTCAGTTGTTTGATTTTGAACAACTCACCAACAGTACTCCACTGAGGATATACGTTGAGAGGTATCATACGGTTGCATTAAAATACTTGCCATTATAGTTTTAGTGGCACAGCAGAGCAAACGGAGCTAATGTGGCTGTAAGCACCACAAGACCCCCAAACACAATGTCCATCACTGGTTAAAGGTGTAACAGTCTCAAATTTTGAAATTTTTGTGTAAACGGCCAACATTTGAAGTTTCAGGCAAGCTGCGCGATTTTCGGAGAGAAAATGCGACAAGCTGCAAGCATGAAACAGCTAAGTGAAGGGGAATTTGTAGGGATAGTTCATGCTAGAAAAATATGCTTTTGCACAAACTTCTAAAGCCAGCTCAAGAAGCCTCTGCTACAGTGCTGGTAGACGAGGCCCACTCACTGCCACTCACAGTCCCCCTTATTTGGACCGTGGAATGGAAATTGTGTCTGGATGTGTGTGAGCAATGTGGCGGGCTGTCTTTGGGAGATGATGGGGGAGGACAGGTGGTTGCGGGTAAGTGGGTTAACTTTACCTTTGTTGACTTGGATGCCCATGGCTCTGCTGACTGTCGGGCTACATTCAAACTGGGACATGACAACAAGCATGCAACACAAGGCCCAGTCAGCCAACAAAGGACATAAAACAGGAAACAAAAACAAAAACATAAATCAATAAAAAATGTGGCAGTAAGGCAAAGAAAAAACATACACTGAGTGGGAGGCTCACATGAAACAAACTTAAAATCACATTTATACACGAAGAAAATGAAAGCAACATCAAACAACGCACGGGTAGACAGAGTGGATACCAGAACATGACTGTGGCTTGTTGACTGTGGGCTTTGGGTCCTTGAACAAGAACTGGACTATTTCAAGGTTTTTTGTGTGTTTATTTTATCATATTGCCAAAATAATGATGCATATAGCCCCAGCATAATTCATTAGGGGGGCACAAAATAGACTAAATGGGCAGAGTGGTCTTTAGGACCATTTATCTGTAATCTTGGAAGGAATCTGTGTCACAAATAATAAGGCCCTTCAAAGGAGCCAAATCTGGAGAATGTAGGGCAAATAAATTCCATTAGTGCAACACATTGCAAACAAACGAGCAATCAGACACACAGGCTTGGTTTGCTGCTATCCCGGCCTGTGCGAGGCCAGTGCTCCTATAGTGAAAACAGTTCCAGCTAGCAATTGGCCATTTTCACCTCCCTTTAATTGGCCCAAGGGCACTAAATGAGCTAAATCAGTATTGTGCCTCTTGGTGCACAAAGCCAGTGTTAGGCTTGTTCCGCCTGGGCTAACCGTCCCCTCATTAGGGGCCACTGATAGAGCCAGTGTGCCGTAGCTACACTCTGCCAGCCCTCAGTTTTCATGGGCAATTTGTGTGGAAGGATGAAAATAGTTGATGAGTTTATACTCGGCAAGGAGAAGGGGGCAAGGAAATAATTAAAAACAAACTAATGAGAGGAATTAATTATTCAATTAATGCCTCAAACGTGCCACCGAGGGCTGAGTTTAGAGGGGGAAATGGGAAAACGAGGGAGACAGCAATAGAGAAAATGTCAAGCCGTGAGGATAAATAGAGGGGAGAATGAGATATGAAGTGGAGGAAGAGGGGAGGACTTGCTTTATTGCTGGGATGTGAAATTGAAATTAGCTCAATGCCAGTAAATTAACTATCAAGACCTACAGGGTTTGCAAATGCACGCAAATTGCCCTCATTGAATCAACAAAAATGGAGCCTTTGTCATTTAAAATTATACATCTTCATTTTACAAGACACATCCCCAAAGCATTACCTTACAATTCCCTTTAGTGGACTAAATACATGCTGGAATATCAATACCAGCCACTAATGTCAAGAATTTAGTGCCACTAACCTCAGGTCTCACCTCTCTTTTATGATGCGGGCTAATGGAGAAACCCTCTTAGACCAATCCAAGAATATACTTCCATATGTAGCCTAATAGACGTGGATTTCATCACGGAATTCAAACACACGCCTCAAGCACAAATGAATATTTCACAATCAAAAATTTGCTCACTGTCCCCGCTCTGATCTAGCATGAGTGAAATCACAACAAAGTAGAGCACTTGTTTTCTTTGTCTTTTTCTCCATCCCACTGCGTTCCGCACAACTCCTCGCTGTCTATCTGGAGAGGGAAGCCAAAGCACGCTTCATTTAATCAAGAACACAGCAGACGACGGGATGGAAATATATCCCATTTGATAGCTAAAAAATGCATCAGCCTGGCTATTACGCAGTGCAAACTCCCTCTCTGTCTCTCGCTCTCTCTCTCTCTCTCTCACACACACACACACACAAACTCACACCGTCCATCTAACACACAGTGAGGAACAACACTGCATCACTGGGCACCACATGCAAATTTGTCTTATGACCTCCTGAACCCTGCGGAGAGGATGGAAAACTACAGGCTAACTCCACAGTGACGGAGGCCAAGAAGCTGTTTTGAATCTAAACATTAGCGCAACAAAGTATTACTAATACATAGTGTGTTACATAAACACAGTAAACACTTTATCTCTCAGTAAACCCCACTGACTCCATTTGTCTCCTGTCTCCATTATGAGAGACACAATGAGAATGGACTCTATCCCCCCGCAAGCCACATTGCCCCTGCCTGAGCATCCACTGCACTTAAAAGAGAGTCGGATTTGGATTTCTTTTTATCATTAGCACGTAATGTGAAGCCCACTTTCTATCCACTTCAACAGAGAAGAATAAAAGTGTATATATGTGTATAGTTTTATACACATACACTTGTATTATATTATTGTTATATATATTCTTACTGGGAGAAGAAGCGATGGTTTATCAGAAAGCCATTTTACAGGGTCGATTATAAAGGTCATGCATGTTTTAAAAAAAAAAAACAGAATTTATTTTCAGACAACAGGAATAGCTCGGCTAGCCTCAGCAGCCGAATAGAAAAGACAGACAAGGTGATTTTGAACATGGAGGTTAATGCGGAGTCCTGTAATATGGTGTCTACCTCCCCCTCTTTTCTGGTCATGTCTTTCGCCCTCATTTCCATCTATAAAGAGTAACACTTTAGTCATCACTAACAGCTTCCAGCTATCAGTGTGATATAAGGGATTACCAGTTGCTGGGCAGTATGGAGTTAACAAAAGTGTGAGTAGGTGGTATGGAGAGGCAAGAAAAGACAAGAACAGCAGAAATCAAGAGATTGAAAGTTGTGGATTCTATCTGTAATGACACATGTAATGCACAAGACCACTTTAAGCCCACTGCACTTGAAAAGAAAGAAAAAAACAAAAAGTGTGAAGGGGACATTTTCTGATATCCACTCATCTCCTCAACACAGAGATCCTACCTTTCCAGAGAAGTAAAATTGATCAGGTCTCTTCTGACCGCATACGTATTTGTGATATTTCTTACAGTGTCTCATTGGCACACATACAAAGTGCATCATGTTTGGCTCGTTTGAGTGCCAATGAGCTAGTTTATGGATAGAGTATCGTGGTTTATGAGGTGATTATGAATCGTTTTGGATGGGTCATTGTCTTTATGAACTGATTTATCGCGTGGTTGTGTTGTTTGGTCATAAGGTTTAATCCAGGCACTGAAATGGGCACGAGGACTGCATGGATTATCACACCACACACAGTGACGCTACAGGAATGGAAACACAACCCCAAACAGCAAAACCACAGCAACAACAAAAAAACGAGTTTATGTTTTTCGTCTTTCATCATTGAAGACGAAGCCAGTCATCAGACCACCTTACAAATCTATCTGATTATAGTGATTCCAGATTATGTATTTCAATTTGTATAGGAGTTGATGGAGGAAGAGGAATGCAGACGCACAGGGGATACAAGCTGTGATGCACCGCACTACCACACCACTAGGGGACCACCTAATATTTAGGCTCATCAAATACAGTCACTTCACTAGGAGACAACGCTGATGGGTCGTGGATGTTAGGCTACATGGAGTAAGCTCATAGTTTGACAATGTCTGTGTGACTCTAACTACACATATTTATCGCCTTGAAAAAGGCTTTCCAGTGTCTAAAATAGGCTACTTGAGCGGGTAATGCTATAAGTATAAAGTACATTCCTCTAATTGACTGTTCGCTTATCTCCTAACATCTTAATCACTGTTAAGTAGCGCCTGTCAAGCTTTTTCTATCTAGCACTACACACACGAACCTTTTACAAAGGGGGCTGATTTACCTGGTTTCACAGTTTATTTTCACACAGTATTATACTATTTATTTCGCCTTCATTGACAAAATAATTGACAGATTAATCATCAATGTAAATAATCATTAGGTGCAGCCTTAGATTGATGCAGGAAATGACAGTAGTAAATGTCAGAGTGGGGTGTAACCAGAACCAATGAACGCATTAATTCTCCACAAAGTGCTGCTGAAGTCTTGAAACAAGACTGCTGAGCACCACAACTTCTAACAGCGTAAACAGGGTTGGCTTCTTTTTCCTTAACAATATCTAGTCATTCATAAATGACTGGAAAATTTGATGTGTTTGTTGTGGGCATCAGCAGTGGCGTTCCCAACCTGTCCCGAGGTGTGGCGTTCACCCTCTAGCACTGAGAGCATGTTCTTTTTTTAATGGCACAATAGTAAAGGCTTAAAGGATGAAGACCTACTGATGTGGTTTCAAACTTGTCTCAGGTAATGTTGGCTTTAATAAGGAGCAGTACTGAACATAAAACTAGCTTAAACTCTGATATTTCAGGATCAGCTTCCACACAGTGGGAAAACACTACACAGTGGATGTGCTATAGTGAATGGGGCTTTTTTTCCATGTAACTTGTAAAGACACAAACTAAGGATGTGCTCCTTGGCCTTAAGTAATGCTCATTTACTTTATGTGTTAAGCTAATTTGCCGTACATGCTAATGATAGCAGCTTGGAGCGGATACACACATTTTTTAATCCATTACTTACATTCCTAAAAGCTTTAAAAAAAAAACCTGCAAAACCCTGCAAACTCTTTAAATGCTGAGTTTGCTCACCAACTGAACATGTAGAAAAATCCAAAGCTTGACAGGCCTGCCTTGCCTACATATGGTTGCTAAGCTTCGATTGGTTATTGGCTGATTGGTTGAGAGGTTTAGCGAACAATCAATCACGCGTGAAATGTACATTTTTACAGCTCAGAAACACAGTTACAGTATGTACAGTGGCAAACTATGACACATACAGCGACATGTAGCGCATTAACTAACGGCCTTAGAGTGAGTTAAAGGGGCTCTACGGCACACGGTTTATGCGGGGTTTAGTAGGTCTTACTTTGACTTTCTTTGTAAACGAGGGAGGCTCTGCGCACTAGTGATGGCTCGGTGTTGTGCCTCGGTGGTGGGGGAGGGGGGACCTGTTGCCGACCAACACCGTCCGCGGTGGTTAGTAGGGGTTAAAAGTCGTTTAGTGTCTGGGTTAAAATACTGTTTAGGCATTTTAAAGGAGAGAGGCCTGCAAACGTTTGGGGGTTAATGAGTTTTTTAAGCCTCATTGCCTAAGGATGACTCATCATTAAGCCAGGTAAGGGGTAGTGGAGGTTTTCCTTCTGGTTTTGCCTGGAACTGGCTAGTCTCCCTCATCATTAAAAGGCGAGATGCTCAATAGTGCCAGTCCTTAAGTGACTAAGTCAATTGGCCATATGAAGTTAAGGGTGAGCATCAACTTCCACAGTACTTTGGGTGTCCATCCAAGAGAAGGTATCCCAGTAAAATGCAATTATGTTTGCTATTAGATCACAGCACTCAATGTAGTATGTGTGAAAATCACTGTCAGTGTCAGTGTTATATGGCATTTCATATCATTACTCATGCAGTAATTGTCTCCTAAACAGTTTATGTGCTTCAAACCCAGGCAGTGTAACACACTGATCTGCAACATAAAAAAAGATAAACACACAAAGAAAAAGTAACAAGAGGACACAGAGAGACACACACACACACAGGCATGCAGCCACCCACGTACAGTTGGCACTCTGATATGCAAGTGTATGGACAAGCACACCCCCCAACACGCACCCTTCTCATATCCATAATTACTGTATAGTCAGCATGTCCGTGTCTGGGGGTGACTCTCAAAGTGAGATGTTGACAACAGCAGAGCTGAACTCAAGCTGGGTCCTGTCAAAGGCCCGACGCTGATAGCATTATCCGTGCAATTATTCACAGTTAAGTGAACTGCCTACTTACTTTAAACATAATGGATTTGGATGAGTATGCCATATCTATGCTGCCCTTTCATTTCATAACTTATATGACGTCACTAAACCAGCAGAAATATTTGTTCCAACTCATCTTAATTAGCTTAAATACGCCTATCTATTATTTGTGGGTGGGTTTTCATTTCTTTCACATTTGGGCATAATCTCAAAGCACACCTGCGCTCCCTCTGAGGCACATTAGCATTCTGTAGTGCAACTGTTAACAACCACACACTTCTAATATGCGGCTCATGCCTTTCCAAGCAGTCATTTTTCTTCTCTTCCATAAAATATTTGCTCGGTATTAATGGATGGGGAGTTGGCCGGCGCTTCTGAAAATCTTGATCAAGATGTGGAGCAAACGAGGAGTGAAGGAAGAGGCCGCCAGTCTGGCATTAGGAAATGGCAGCGTCTCTGCATATGTGTGTGTGTGTGTGTGTGTGTGTGTGTGTGTGTGGCTACATGGCATGTGCAATATGAGAGATGTCAGGCTGGCCTTTGTTCCGTTACTGGCAGTGTAAATTAGGTGTGAACCAGCATGGCGCCGATGCCACGGGACAGTTACACCTATCAAGGTCGGCTCTCCGCAGATGAGGGGAGTGCGAGCGTGTGCGCGTGTTTTTAAATCTTAATGAAACTGGCTCTCTGAAGGTCAGCGCAGACCGAGCAGGGACTCTTTCGTCTACTGCTAATAGGTGTATTAATGATTCAAAGATGCTTTTGTGTCTCATGTGCACAGTTGCCCACCCAAGCACCCCCACTGACGCACACATCCACCTAACCACCCACACAGACACATTAAAAAATACACTGTCACATACAGTACATCGACAATGAATCCAGGTAAACACACACAGTAACCAGTGTGACGCAGGCATAGACAAAGCACTTGTGTGTGGTGGGGTGACTTCATAAGAGTGAGAAATAGTTTCACAGGTCTCTCAAATTGCAAAACTAGGATTTCATTAACCGGCTAAGATCGATTATCCCTCAGCTAACTGTTTTGACAGGTATTAAATAAGGCACCAACCACAAGTGAGAATGAATTAGGTTCAGGCCAATTACAGCAGGTATAAAAATATATTTACAGTGAGAGAGCTGGAGTAAAGTTATATTGATGAGGTAGTTATTGTTCAATTCTCCACAGACGTATACCGCAGTGAATTGATCAAGTCGTATGAAAATACATACACTATTCACATTACATTCAAGTTCCCTTGTTAGAGCAAATAATTTATTTCTAAGGCAGCGATTCGGCTGGAAGAAAGGACACCATAATGGATACAACCACTTTCAAAAGTTCCTTATCTGGTATATTACCAAATTTTTAGGACTGTAATCTGCATCTAAAAGCTGCATTTACAATGAAATGCAATGTCACTATAGTGCTCATGATATTTAGCCAGCTGACCACTTTCTGTGAAGCATCCTAGTGCAGTTTTGAGCCTTGCAGAAGTCAATTCTGTAGGGTCTTAGGGTTGTGACGAAGTGCGGAAGGGGGTGGAGGTGTATGGGTACAGCGGGTTCCCGTCCCGCGTTTGGGCAATGCTCTTACCTTGAATGTGGACATGGCTGGGTCCCTGCTATACCTGTCTATGGTGTGGAACTTGGACGAGTGGTTGAGCTCATGGTACAGCTCAGAATGTCTTTTGCGAGTGTGCATCACTTTCTGGAAGGGAAGAAAGGAAGGGACAGCAAAAATGAACCAAATCGAAACAAAAAAAAAGAAAAAGAGGGCTAATATAGGGGCAGGCAGGGTAATGGGTAAAAGGCTGAGGGACTGCGGTAACACCAGCCATAAGAGGGGTACGCCGACAGATCGATCGATTGCTGGCTCATGCTCATACATCATCCACTTCTTCAGTCTCTAAGAATTTGGCAACTGGGAATGCTGCAGAGGAGTCATTTAAGTGAAAATTTAGTGACAATGACTGACAGGAGTGCCATTGTTCCAGACTGGTGCCTGCTAGCTGGCGGTCCTGTTAACTCAGGATTTTGTCTAACTCATTAAATGTCCAACAGAAGGGCTGAAATTGAACTCTGGCACTTGTGATATTTGACAAAAACTGCCTTCCCTGCGTTCTGAATATGTCTGTTTAGAATACTGCTAAATCCAGATATTGAATTCTCTGACACCAAACTGCATCTGTCAGTGCCACTGCTGTTGTCTCTCTGTGCTAATGGGCAGTGCTGGAGCTGCACAGCAGTAGCTAATCGTCAAAGCAGCTTGCGAGGTTGAAAGTGACACAGGGGCAAGATGCCAGCACTCACACCGCAGACTTACCAGCCAGGACTGGCGCTTAGTACTGGCTCCAATTACTTCAGAGTGGGCACTCTCATCTCTGCTCAGCTAAGGAGGCGCTAACTAGTTACTTGCTTTTTCAGAGTGGGCACTCTCATCTCTGCTCAGCTAAGGAGGCGCTAACTAGTTACTTGCTTTTTGCTGCCTTGCTTTAGTTTTCCTTGACTGAGTCATGTGGTTTACTGTTTTCAATGAAGTCCAATTAAACCGATGTAAACTATGGAGTCCTGCAAGTGATCTTCATAACCTTCAAAATAAAGCACTTCAAGGATTTTCCAAGTATGGCTCAGTATATCTATTCAAAGGAGTACTGGCCAGTTATACTGTTGCATAATCATTTTGGAGGAGCTTTGCAAAGTTTGAAAATGAACCCTGATAATATCTGGGTTATTTCTGGACCCTTGACCCATATTGAGAACTAAAACTCAGTGTCTCTTGCGAATTCACCAGCTTTAAGTGCTACTTTAAGTTTTCAGAATACATATTTCCCCTAAAAAAAACTAAATTCTTAATTAACTTTAAAACTATTAATAATGACAAATGTTGCAGTTTATATCGTATGTGTAAAAAAAAAGATTGACAGTCTAGAAGGATGGGCAAAAAAAAAACCATGGATGGAAATGGGTTTACCCTCCATTAAATCATGGAAGTGCACACTTCGCTATATTAATGGTACTTCTACGTCAACCTCTTTCTCAAAGTCAACAGTCAATTGATGAGAAAAGAGTTGATTACCCGGAGAGGCAATCTTCCTTGTTCTAAATTCATGCAGCGGCCACAAATGACTCTCCAGTAAATTTGCCAGATACGGTAAACATAGTCACTGTTAGTAGCTTGTCACCACACGTACCGTCTATATGAAAAATATATCTCCAATATATCTCCATGGTGGAAGGTGAATGTCCAGTCTTTGCAACAGTCTGAATTAAACTGAATTCTCGCGAAAAGCAGCATTGAGGGTTTGTTATTGCTAAGGGATACTCGATAGAGACTGGAGATTCACAGAACACCCAAGTCATTCTAAACACGAGCATACTCACTCAATGTCAAATCATGTTATTCCAAGAGATATAACCAACCAATCAGCTACAGCCACATACGTTTTTGACCCATAACTGGATTATTTGTATTCATTCAGACACAAGAAGCACTCTACTTTGCTGTTTCTTCAACCAGGACCCCCACCATGACATGACAGCATTTTTTGATTTGATTGTACATGTCAGTGGGATGTTTTCATTGATACAAATTATTCAATTAAGACAGATGATGGGTAAGGATGGATTTAAGGCCATTGTTGGAGAAACAGCATACTATGTAAGGTAGGTCTGAAACAGTCCATAGTTCTAAATGCAAGGGAGACAGATGTGCGAAGGGAGGGGTTTAGCAATGCGTTTTGCTCCTCTATGCGTTACTCAAGTCCTGGCAGAAGCACAAGAAAGCGGGGACAGGCTGATGACAGGGGATGAGGTCCGAGATCTTACCTCAAAGTCCAGCTCAGAGTACCGTACTCTTTTCCTCTGGAAGAGGAGGGGGGCAGGGGGAGAGAAGAAAGCATCAATAACAAACCCCTCCACCACTATTTAACTTAAGACCTAGCTATCTCAATGATATGTGGATCTCTCAGTGCCATTGTTTAGTAACAAGAGGAAGGCTAATATGCACTGGCTGCCCAACACAGATAAAGATATTCTTACAAATGTCAAGGCAAAAAGCAAATTATCCAGTCTATTTCAACGTAATGAGATTAGTGAAGTGGAATAACCCAGAATTGGAATGAAACAATAATTTCTCAGCTCACATACTCTCAAATACAATCATTGCAACCCCGGCATAAATCATCTCCTTTGCTATTTTTGTAGAATGTGTTAGACACATTTCGATTAAAAGAGCTACAAAAAACATACGAGGAATGGTTTTCATCCTCTAATCTTGTTTGGACCCCACCACTCTCCTCTTAAGTGCCTGTGCAGCTATAGTGAGTGGCACACAAGCCGCCAATTTAACAGCTGCAGACATTTCCAACTCATCTGGTCCTGACATTGCATCGCATTACATTCAATCTCTGACTTCCTTTTTGGCTCTCGCCATCTGCCAAATTTACATTTGGCAGTGAGAGGAGCTGCTCTTTGTTAGTTAAAAGCTGTATTCATTCGTTGAAAGGGCAGCGTTGCTGATCTGATGCTATAGAAAGCCAAGGTTTTAAAAGGTAAAGGAATGCAAACAGATAGAGAGGCAAGTCTCTCTCTCTGAGATGTCCTATTCACTTTGTTACTTTCACTGCTCATGAAACACAATGCGATCACTGTCCTACAGAAAATCCTTACCTTAAACTGAGGAATTCCGTGATTGAGTTTGCTTTGTAATATGATAGACATGCAACATGCATATACATGGACAGTATATTGCATGTTTTTTTGTGGAAACACATAAAGCAGTCATTGACTCACTAATACAACATTCATAAAGAATCCTCGTGTGATTTGATGTTATGATGGCATGATGGTCCTATAGCCAACCACAGTCACACACTACTTTATCATCTTTCGTTTGCATGCACTCAATGCAGTGATTCATACGAAACTTCACCTCTACAGCCAACATTTTGTTGTAACGAGATACTGATTATATTCCAATCTTAGACTCTATATAGGAAGTGGACAGAGTCATTGTGACATCACCTACTGGTTTGTGGACTTCCGTTTTGAAGCCTCGAGTTAGGCGATTTCGCCGTCACCATCTTGGATTACCGCAGTTGCCATCTTGGCTTTTTGCAACCAGTGAATGGAAGGGACCGTATTTGGAATGCGGAGGAGTTACAGTACATAGAGACGCCGTATACAGCTCTCCCCTGAAGCAAACTCTGCTTTATGGTCTATTTTATTCTAAATGGGACCATCATTTACTAAATAAACTTCATGCTATATGCTGGCTCCACTCGTCAGAACCTAAGGTTGCCGCCTGATTTCCATACAAACTCTACTGGTTTCTACAGTAGGATGATAGAACAATATGCCCTGTGAACCTTTGTCACACCTTGACTAGATCATTTAGAGTTCAAATTTACAAGAATCTCACTAAAAATCCTCAGTGAAATGAACACTGCGAGTACATTTACGTGATCCCACCATTATGCCTCACCATATTTAAATTGGGGAGTAAAACACTGCTGTGATTTAATCTTGAGAGGCATGCTCTGATATCCATCTCGAAATCAAGCATATTCAAACAGGGTGAAATTATGGCAGTAAATTACATCCCCCAGGTTTCTTTTTTTTTTGGTATTCATGAGTGCACTCGTAGCTCTTCTGATTTTTTTATGAGTTTTAATGACTCGTCTTTAATGTCCTCAGCACTAAATGAAGCATCTGCACTTTTCGGTGAAAGTGTCGCTTCCATCTCTTAAATCAACCTTGTGAGTCAGCAAGATGCCATTCGGGGAAGATCCAAAGTGTGTGTTGGTGTATGCGTGTGTTTATGTGTCCATGTTATCCTGTGCTTGCTTTTGTGTGTATGTCAATGTGTTGTTTGTGTAAAATGAAGCTGGGCTGAAAGACATTCACTATAGGGCATTTCCTCTGATCCTGTCTGTCTCAGTCCATCTGCTGTGCCACCTTGTACAGTTAGGAGGGGGTATCACACACACACACACACACACACACACACACACACACTTTACACACACATCAAACACAGTATACAAAGAAGAAGCTGTCTGTCATTAAGAGAATAACTCATTTTAAAGCTCATTGTCTCAGTGAGCGGCGATGAATAGCTGCAAATAATAGCAGTTGTCAAAGCAGACTTGTTCTGAAGCACACGGCTGTGCTATTATCGCAGTGTGTTGGACATATTGTTTCTGTATATCAGAGACAATGTATTAGACATTGCTGTTTGAAGGCCACAATGGCATCTTCCTTCCCTATATTCTAACTTACCCCACAACAATTCATTTAGTGAGTTTAAGTAGTGAATCATACTTTTTATTTTTCTCAAGTTTAAAATAAATGTTGATTGATTAAACTAGTTGTTCCCAATGCAAATATGTTTGTTTATCAATTACTTTCTTGACCTAAGTGACACTACATTAGAAGCAAATGGGGTCATTCACATTTTTCTTGTTAAAATTATTTTAAAAATGTGTTTAAAATCCTTTAATGTCACATTAAATAGGTTGATTCTTTCTGCAGAGAACTCTTCTCCCCCTTAGTTTCTTTCCTCGCCTCTCTTCCATTCCAGCACCACAACTTCACTTATATAACCACGCACATCAAGTGCATTGAGTGTTTGCTCAAGTGAAAGGTGGACATTATGAATAAGATGCACCACCACTGGGAAACTCTCCTTCCCTCAACCTCTTACCCACCTCCAGGGATCCTGCTGAGAGGCTGCTGTTGGCATTGGTGCTGCCCAGGTTGCGTGGCAGGGTCCTGGTTCTCTCCACTGTGGTTCCCCCTGTTAGAATCTGTCTGACCGACGGCCTCTGGCCCTGCTTCAGCTGGAGCGAATGCCCGTGGGAGTGCATGTGTCCTCCGTGGGAGTGTACAAGACCACCTTGAGCCATCATGTGGCCGTGCCCGTGGGGCATGGTTTTGATCGTCCCATAGGAGCGGTTGAGGTTCATGGCGATGTTCATGTCGCCCACACTCGACGGCACAAAATCCGCCGGGTACGCCTCACTTTCAGCTGGGTGGAGGGTCAAGGGTGAGGGAGGCGGGGGGAAGGGAGGATCCTCCACTGCGATGTTGAGAGGCTTGTCCTCGCACCCCAGTCCCAGGCCTCCTCCTTGAGAGGAGGGCGCTGGAGGTTTGAGACTGACCGTCCTACGAGGTAAGACCATGTAGTCTCCCTCCCCGCCTCCTCCACTTCCTCCTCCCCCTCCGCTTCCCCCACTTCCGGCACTTCCGTCCTGGGAGGTGTTGGAGGAAGTGGGTGGTCGAGCCCAGCCCAGGCCACTCTCGGTGCACAGGTAGATTGGAGCGCCACTGCGTTGCTGCCCCTGTTGTCTCTGCTGATCTACGTTTAGCTCCTTCTTGAGGGGCGTCTCGCTCAGCTCATTGAGGCCGCCGAGAGTTGGAACCTTGTGGGAAAAAAAAAAAGTTTCAGTTTTACAAGTATTTCCTAAAAGCAAGATGATCTTATTTTAGATAATCTCAACAGATAACTTTCTGTTGCAAGATTAAACATTTTCACTTGTTAGCTGCTCGGCTTTTTAGCTTTTGGACGGAAAAGTTCAGCAGAGCACGACACTGATCATCCAATTGGTCAGTCAATGTCAACATCAATTCCTTGCCTGTACGATGAGGTTGGGTGGGGGGATGTTCCCGGGGAGGGAGCTGAAGTTGAGCCCAACTCCCCCCTCCTGATGGGCTGCCAGCTTGGGATCATCCTCATCATCCAGGGAGATGCGGGAAAGGGTCCCAGTGATGGTGGCAGGGTTACAGGCGTTCACCTCTTTGAATATAACTAGAGGGCCAAGGAAACAGCAAGACAGCGGAGGATAGGCATGAGATATGGGGGTTTGGGTAGTTGATCAAAGTAAGAAAAGAAGAAGAAGTGAAGAGATTATGAGTGAGGTAAAGGGATAATAAAAATAAGTGGATATTGAATGGTAATGTATTGATATAATTTATGCCAAACAAAAGACAGTTGACAGAGATAGGCAAAACATAAACATAAATCAGGTTGTGGTACTGACGTTTGTTTTCAGCTTTGTAGTAGCTGTGAGACAGATTGCATCTCCAAAGAAAAGTTTCACTTCTCAATTTGTGCTGATATGGTTGACAGTAATTAAGATGAGTTCGTCTCCGACACTGTGACCTTAAGTCTTGCTCCATCTCGAGATTTGCCGGTGAGCCAGGATATTTATTAGCTTGGAGATAGAGCCTGAGTGCAAAATGCTGTGTGCTTCAAATGAAATGGAGCAAAATTCCCTTGCTATCGACTCCTGGCCCATATTTTGCTTACCAGCGTATTATACCCTGTGTGTGAGATTCTGTGTGCATTTATGTTCCCGAATACATGTGTATATATAAATGTGTATTTCTGTATGAGGGCCTGTTTTTTTTATTCACAACAGTGTAAATAAAAGCAGAACATAAAACTACTTACATGGCTTTGGGTTAGCATTCATGCATGTTGTTGCGGGTGGAAACTACAAACAGAATACTATACATTTCTAGAATAGCTACTCCAAAAATTAAATGCGGCATGCTGATGAGACGCTAAGTTAATTCACAACTGACATCAATCTATCTTCACAATGAAACACAACTCCAAACCATTTGGAAATTCATGCTAGATATCATGCTCCTTCTGTCAGCATCAGAGGAGAAAAGATTCACTCTGTGGCCCCAAAAATCCAATTCTAGAGCAAAGCATGCATCACAGTCCATGTTTATGTTAACAGCATTGATGTGACAAAATGTCAAGCTACGCGTTTTATCCAAAATTTAAGCTGGATCCAGCTTACCAGTCTGCATACCAGCAAGGACAACTGGCTGAGTACAGAACCTAGCTATCTCCTGCTTTACAGTCTGTTTGGTGCAAAGCGATTTTAAAGGACTGGACAAGTTTGAACAAATCTGATCCCTTCACATCTGCATTCAACAGTGGAGACCCAGAGAATGATCTATAGACAAATCTGGCAGTTGTTTTATGTTGTTGCGCTTTCAAGCGCCACAGCCATTACTGCAGTGGCATAGTTCAACGGAACATTTTTACACTGACAGTGAAAGCAGAGACGTTTTGGGTTGATCACCATCAGCATCCATCCCCTATAACAAATAAAGCTAGTCATGTTTGAATGTGAAAGTCACATATTATTAATTATTACACAGCCTTTGGGGCAAAACACTTTTGCATTAACGTACTGCTACTGTCCATCCTCCGCAGAGTGGATATCAAAATGCTGTGCGGAATAACTAGCTTAGACCCTGAATGAATTACTTGCTTGCTTCTGATGTAAATCATCACTCCATGATTTCTTGCATTGTAATCAGAAGCAATTCAGGAGATACTACTACTGTACAAGTGGAATTTCACCCAGAAAAAGTAAGAAAGTACCAATGAGCTATAGATATGCTGGGTTTATATTTTGTACATTTTATTGAAAAGGTTCTCCAGGATACATTTGGCAGATTTGTTGGCAAAATTGCTGGAGAAGTGAAGTTCTTTACAGACAATATAATTGTGTTTACAAGCCAAGTGCCACTGCAGTTATGGCGGCTTCTTTACTTCCACCTGCAACCCAGATTCGTCTATAGGAATTATTTAAGTCCAGGGACGGACCAGGCAGTGTTTAAAAAGGTCAATTTGGTGCAACACTTACATGGGTGTCCTCTCTCTGCAAGGGTGGAGGGGGAAAGTGACTGTGTTAATATTTCAAAGCACAACATGTTGTGGTACAATTGCAACACATCCAAACGCTCACACACATGACCACTGTCAGCGGTGAGTGAAACCCGGCCCGAACACGCTGAGGAATGTGTTATTATCATGCACAATTAAACACAGCCTCATCAAAACTTATGCTCGCTGAACAGTTATTGGGCAGATTCAGAGTGATTGATAAGGCATAATGATTTGTGCACAACTGTCATTTTATCAACATGTAAAGCAGCGAGGTAAGTTACAACTCTCCACTGCCTCTTCGGCAATGCAACTCTCCTGTGTTGGACGAAGGGAGAAAGGGAAATCAGGTGAAAGGGAGAGCTCACCTGTTTGACACGCCAAATCCACATCCTTTTCAAAATCCGTCTGAGAGAGGGAGGCGGGGGTAGGAAGAGAGGAAAGGCAATGAGTGTCGTTACATTCACCGCATCGATAAAGGCACAGTTCTTACGAGTGACTGGATCCCGAATGGTTATGCTGCATCCAATGACTATGATGCTCTACTGTAATTTCACACTAAAGACAAGGATATGATATGTTGCCATGTTAACACTTTACAACCCAGTCAATTAGTAATGCCCTCCGCGAACGAGACACAGAAATGTTCAGTTTTCATTTCTTCATAGTGAATTTGTCCAAAAGCCTTTTCAAACCGAAAAAGAACAGACACTTCTGTGTGATGGCACACACTGCTACTTTGTTCATGATGTGCATCAGTTCCCGGCAGCAGACCCAAATACAGTTTTAAAAAGAGAGGAGCAGAACGCTGTGGTGTTTTGCCAGGTATGTAATGCTACTGCATGCCTCATCAGTCACCTCGCTATCGTCTGAATGCAAACGGACAGACATTTTCACTGCAGCAAAACTATTATCTGCTGTGCCAGTTGAAGCAAAACTTTGGTGTGTTCCAGCCTAGCTTTTTATGGACTGAAAAACAAATGAAATACATAACGTAATAATCCAAATGACTGACGACCAAAACACAAGCATCCACACAGAGCTTCACCCCGCAATTAATATTCTGATTTAATGTAGATAAGTTATCAAAATCTGATGTTTATTGCTGCTTTGAGCTATAATTCACTTGAGGAAAGCAGGGTGGCACTACTCCGTGGGGTTGAGAATCACTCTCAAACCCAAAGGCTGGTGGGTTGAATGAAGAAGTGGTGTTTCCAAAATGGCCACCACTCAAGTTTCCAAAACTTTAGTGAAAGAGAAGCTTATTGCTATGCAGTTGTGGTCCTCCCTTCTCTCACCATACAGCATCCTCCTGTCCTCGGCGGGATTCATTTACAAAGCCTTTGTTTGGATAATAAACTACAGATTTTAGACAGTTTGGGCACGCCACACAGGCAACGAGAGAAGCAAGGGGGGGAAATGAAAAACTGAAAGAGAGAAGGAGAGAATGTGTAAAGGTCTCAGAGGAGCGGAAAAGCTCTTAGTAGGAAAATCACCCGCAGCACCATAAATGGGTCTCTACTAAATAGCAGGATGAGGATATGAAAAGTCCTCTCTCTTTTTCTCTCAGTCCCTCCCTGCCATCCAAATTGAGAAAAACAAATCATCCTTATCTTAACTATAATACACTCTCTCTGCAACAGCCTCACAGGTTAAGTACAGTGAGTCATCCACTGTTAGGTAAAAACACCACAAGGGAACACAGTCCTATTGTTGAGTGCCATTGACTGAGTTGAGTAAACACCCTATAATATACAGCATTCTTGACGAGGCTCCTAAATCAATTATAAATGGCCAAAGACAAGGTTTGCTACCTCGCTATAGTAGAATAACTAGTTTCTATTTATACATCACAGCTATTCAAACTAAGATTTAAAGGTGCAATATGTAATCAAAACAAAACTAAATTTGATGCAATCATTTTTTTTTTGGTTAAAGGAATAGTTTGACATTTTGGGTTAATAATTCTGTTCGCTTTCTTGCCCCAGATGGTGAGATTGATACCACTCTCATTTTTGGAACTAGCCTGGCCTGGTCTGGTCGGGAGCAGTGACCTTCTGAAGTCGTCAGCATATAACCCCCTTTAAACCATAATCTCCTTTTTTTCAGATTAAAAAAACAAGATACAACATGTTAATTACCTTTTCCAGTCTTTGTGATGAACTAAGCTAACCAGCTGCTGGCTGTAGCTCCAGCGTAAAAGAATGAAAGTAGTATCCATCTTCTCATTTAACTCTTTGAAATAAAGCAAATAAGTGTGTCTTTCAAAATGTCGAAGCATTCCTTTACTAATTGCTCCCATTTGTTGCAAAAATATTGTTTTACAGATTCCACCTTTCTCCATCTATGGGTTTTACTATTCATACTGACGGATTAATTTACGAGAGGTGACATACTGGTTGGCTGCCGATGTGGTTGTGGGCATGGTTATGGTTATAAGCATGGTTGTGGGTATTGTTCAGGATGTGGTTATGCTCATGTGCGTGGCTGAGGGCGTGGCTGTGCTCTAGCCCGTGGTTGTGGTTGCTGCGAGGAAGACTGTGGTAACAGGCTTGCTGGCATGCCTGGTGGGCCGTCGGTGGGAACTGCTGTGGGTGGCACGGGGAAGTGCCGCAACGCGGACAGCCACACTGCTGCCCACAGTAGCTCACATTTGGACACTTCTGATGGTGTAAAACAAATTCATGGAAAACATAAATGTTTCAGGCAGAAATATAACCAGTTTTGTAGAGGACAGTCCTGAGTTTTAATCAGAGATTAGCTATTTAAAGATGGCTTTGATTCAAGAAGGTGTGGCTACAGTTCTACATCTTTATACTGTCTGTACATGTTAGGGGTTCAACATTCTAATGAGATTCCCAGTGAATGAAGCAAGAACACCTGAGTGGAATTATGTTGGCGAAACGGCCCGACTGGTGGCAGCTTCACCAAATAATCCATCACAATTAATATTCTCAAGGGTATTGTTTCGTTAATACGCCAGTCCTCCATGCATATGTGCCATCTGAGAAGATTTCCTCAAAGTCATACACATTTCGAGAGAACTTCAAGCTGTAGAGCAATAGTTGGCATAGTGTGTATGATAATAATACGTTTAACCGAAACTTAAGCGCAGTTACTGTTCCTCTCGGTTATGAAAACAGAGACAGAGAATGTGTCATTATGGCTTCCCTGAGCAGAATGATGGCTCTAAAGTTTAATCTTGATAACCTCACGGGGCGTTCAGAAAGCCATAACCGTTACCGCAAACAGGTCTGAGGGAGAAATAAAGGGAAGAGCGTTGCTCTGTAACTGTACTGACGTTGGCGGGGCAGATCAAGTCTATATATGATTTATCACACTATTAGCCACATTTTGGAACAACAATAACGTTACGGGAGCTCTGTGCTCTTCAAAATACAGAGGAAGAAGCTTAGGTTAAAAGTCAATAAAAGTGCTGAAGTGTTTGATTTGCTAATACATGAAACACTGTGGGCAGTATAAACATTTTGTCCCAAAGTCCACACACACCGAGAATGTTAAATGCATCGCTATAAATTCAAGCAAGATATTGCTACAGAGATCGTATTTGTTGTTAACTTTTCATTTCCCGTTATGGCACTATAGGAAGTTAGTCTCAGGCTGGGAGAGTTATTGCATTTCTACGGTGAATGAAATCAAACATTTTTGGAAAATAAAATTTGAAGATGCATAATACATGGACAATAATGAAGAGAGCCAGGTATGAGTTTGGGCACTAATAGCAATCATGCTTATTGCTATTGGAGCTGAAGCTTCTAGAAAGCTCCAGCCTGGTTAACTTTAGCCCGAGGCTAATGGTTTGCAATGTGGGGTGAAATGGAATGCTATTCACCATGATCTGCACCTGTCCATTCTTGCAGGAGTCTGGCGAGTTTTCGCTGTCGTCTTTACATCCCCCCATCCTACAGCGCACCGCATCCTGCACCTGAAGGGGCAGAATAAGAGAATGGGGGGGGGGAGGATTATTATTATAGAGAGGAAAAGTAGGAGGGGGAAAAGAATGATGAAGAAAAGGAAGGCAGGATGCAAAGGAAAGTGGAGGTTAGTGGAGGAACTTTTACTTTAGTTAGTTTGGTAAATGGAGCATGGGGAACTCACTCCCTCAGACATTTTATATTCTTCGTCTTTATTTCTGCAATGACAGATGTTCAGTGAATACTAAATTACGTAAAAATGAAAGTAAACGGAAAAGCTATATTCTTCACAACGTAGCTCAGCTTGTAGCTTATGTAACAGTCAGTGGAACTGACTGTTGGTAAAGAAAGCACACAGCAGCTCTTCAAAGTGGCCTGTGAGATCAGTGGCACTTAGTCCAAATTAAAAGCAACAGCACAGTGTATAGATATTCTAACCCGTGGGCCTTTCCACTGTCACTGGTTTCCTTTTTCCTCCTATATGCGGCATCTATGCAAATACACACCAGCCCACCGTCAAAGGTTGAGATCTTATAACGCAGTTGAAATCGAATGGATCCCTGTGCATTATGTTTCACAACCAACTTCGAGATTCTTTTCCCACATCAGGCTTTGTATTATAGATACCCTGGTAACTTGCCGAGGAGCAACACCATTTCTCAATGTTGCTGCTGTCAAATCCCATAAGAATCTTATGGGCGGAAACAAGAGTGCTCGTGTAAGAAGCATTGCAAGAGGGAATGAGAGCATATTCAATCTCGCTGGGTGGTCTCATCTGTATGTATGTGTGTGTGCCGCTAAGGATGTAGTGGATTGGGGAAGAATCCATGTCGGATTAATACTGCATGGGCTGGGGTATTGCCTCCATTGTTTCTTTCCATCCGTCTCTTCTCTTTATGTCCACACTCATCCTCGGCGGCATTTGTTCCCCGCTCTCTGTTGGTGTGAGTGTCTGTTGGCAATGTAGCTCATTCTGACTTCAAAGTGAAGAGCCCCTCTGTGTCCATACCTCTCTCTCCACCTTCATCTTTATTTCTTCCTCCCCTACTATCATCCCCCTGCTTCGCTCTTGAATGATGTTTTTTTTTTTTTTCCCCACAGATCTCTGCATGCAATTTGTGTTCCACACTCCTTCCTCTCCTCACTTAACTAAGTCCCTTTGTCACCCCTTTCTCACAATATACCTTATCTTTCACATCTCTCCTCTGCTGCTGCCTCCAAATCACAGCTCCTGTTAAAACTGCAGATGTTCGTTCGTTCACCTTCTCCTCGACTCAGCAGGCCACCTGTGCCACTGCAGCACCTTCACATACAACGAGCGCTATCAAGGAGCACTGCGCGGCACGTTTTCTGTCTGTACTTTACTTCACATAACATCACCCTTTACACTGCCTTCCCTCTTGTTTTCCCCCGTAATGCTTCCTAATTCTCCGCCTTGTTCCTCTCCTCCCCCCTCCCCCCCTCCCTTCGATGTGCCGCACCACTCTGCCTGTTGTTCAGCAGCTGCGAAGGATTTATGCAGGGGCTTTTCATACATTTACAATAAATAATTCCTGGATTTACTGTACCCTGATCCCTGCCGCTTTTGTGATATTGATTTGATGCAGCTAAGCATTCCAAGCATTTCAGAATTCACTTACACTATGCAGTGCATTCAATATCATAATCATCTCTTGGAAATAGGGTAGTCTGTGTGTGGTGTACATGCATCAGCAACACATTCATGGAAAACTGATGACATTGTAAATCTATTAATTGTAGCAAGTGCAATCGTGAGTTAGACCATGGACAAATGTGTGTGTGTGTGTGTGTGTGTGTGTGTGTGTGTGTGTGTGTGTGTAAATGTCTGTCTCAAGGGCATGACTACATGTATGTAGACAATGAGTTTAAAATTCTGCATCCCCGGGGGCACAGCAAAGCCTGTGGCATAAAAGGCACTAGGGGTATTAGTTAGGGACTTAGAGTCTTATTCCATACAGCATCTTGGTAAGCTCCTTAAAGCAGCCTTGGATCAGACGGACAATACTGCACTATCATACTGCATTATGGCGACGAAGCACTGCAACATAGGACATAAATACCGTGCTAATCCCTCTCATGTCTGATTGGCCTGTGTACTGCCGTGACTTCAGACTGACCCGGAAACTAACGTGACATTTGCGAACACGAATCCCACCTGTCGAAGGCAGTGAATGTCGGGTGAGGTCACTTAGTGGTGCTGATTTAAGAATGTATGAGCTCAATGTGTCTGGGATCCACACGGCGGCTTAGCAGGAGGAGGAAACCGGACTCACCTCTCGGCGCATAGCACAGTGGACAGTGATGATGACAAAACCTTGGACAGAGTCAAAGACGGCAAAGAGCACCTGGAGGAGACAAGAAATATTTGCTTGTGAATTATTGCCGTAGTGGGTCTCAAACCTAAACTACAGCACCCCCTTTAAAGTTATTATGACATTTTTACTGTTTTCCCTACATAAAAGCCATTCTAATGTGGAACAGCTAACCACAAAAAGCTGTCAGCATACGGCTGCTTACATTATGCAGAACAATTTTAGGAAGAAAGTGTATTGTGTTACCTAGACAACCTTGCTGGTTGACTTCTAGATCTTCCTGATTTTATACAGTTAGAAACGGAATATACATTTTTTTTGTTATTGTAAATGTTGCCTTTGATGCGGTGAAAAGACGAGGTGTGAAAAATGCTCAGAAAAAAAGAAATAAATATTGTGGCATCTCTAAGGCACTCCAACCACTGTAATGTCATACCCTGTGTTAATACTGTAGTGAAATGACTCAATGATCACTAGAGAAACACTGATCAGCCAAGTCATGCATCACAGGTGTATATTTGTTGGTGTGTGAGCGTCCACAAGTGTTACTGAGATACATCACCTGGAAGAGTGTGGAGCGCCGGTCGGTTATGGCCAGCACTGCTGACATCCAGGTTAATGCTAACAGGGGGAGAACCACGCAGGAGCTCCACAGAGACGCCCTGCCAGAGAAAGAGACAGCGATGCAGACACAGAGAGGGGGGGCACAGGAGGGGAAAGAAGGAGAAGTAACAAAGGGTTCAGTCTCAAACCAGACCAGCCGGTTTTGGTAAGTCACATAACTCAATTTCTCACCCACACACACAGACACACACACTCACACAGATCATTCTTAGAGTCAATGGTGGGCAATTTGAAGCCGATTGGCACAAAAAGGGTTTGGATCACAGTTAATACCTCAACTGAAAAGTGGAAGATGTTGTGTGATCATGTAGATACATGTAGTTACGAGACTGACAATTGCTCACAATTACATGGTTGATGCGCACGCAAGTGTCATGTTGGTGGACTGTGAGACGATAGGGCCAACACAGACGGGGAAGACAGGCCACTGACAAGTACTGACATGCGGGCTTCTGCGGAGTCAGTGTGTGTGTGTGTATACGTGTGCATCTGTAACTCTATGGAGTCAGACACCAATTTAAAATGTTCATGCTGTTTGAGCACATATTGCTGGTTTTATAACCGTCAGTCTGACAGACTGACTACACGGAGAAATATGCACGCCCCTTTAACAGGTGCATGTCCAAGGCAATGAATAAAAGAGAAAATAGAGCAGTAAAGCCAAAGCTGTGCTCGTGTTAATGTGTAAACTTTCCAGCTGTTGTTGACTGTGTTTTTTAACCACACAATATGGTTCAGTACAGCCTATATGTGAAAAATACACTCTGTAATACCGCAAGTGTACCTCGTCATACATAATAAGTGTTTTTTTAATGAGCGGCTGTATTTTAAATTTCTACAAAGGCATAAGGATGGAAGGAAATATGGGGAGAGCATATTTTGTCACACTTTTAAATGGTGGTTTTCGCTTTCTGGAAATTAATTCCGAAGTTATAGTCTTGAAGAGCTTTATCAAGACACTTTGGTATGAATAGACCAGGCTTACTACTATATAATAATGATACAGAGAATAAGGGAGTGTGTAATACCAGCATTATTTAAGCTGAATTCTTGTGTTTGAATGCTATTTCCGTAAACACAGAAATATTACGATTTCACACTAGGATTTCCGTAAGCAGATTATTTGAGGGACTTCCCAAATAAACAATATACTGCAAACAGATGGTAGAAGTGCAGTGATATGAACATAAATGATCTATTTAATGATAGACCATATGTATTTGGCAAAGATGTAGGTGGATCTGAGATCAGAAAAGCCGTGTGAAAGAAAGTCAATAATGGCCCTGTGTCTTCTCAGGGACGACAGGTAACTGATGCAAACTTGTTACTGCAAATAGGCAATTTCATCCCATTAGCGTTCAATCGTGAAACAACACAACCAAACACAGAGTTCCTACTTTTAACAGAGCGCTCTTCCAAAGTAAACACAAAGCCATAATGAAAGATTTGCACAAGGACATAGTTACCAAGCAAAGCATTGTTTGCAAGAGTAAAACGGAAGGAGGGTCTTTCATTAACAGATATGCTGCTCTGAAGAAGAAACCATGACAACAAGGCTTTTATTAAGATTGCAAAAATAACATCTGTCTTTTTCTTGTTACACTATAGTAGCACCTTTGAACATGTCCAGACCCAATAGGAGATGCTGGTAGGGAGACTGCAACATTCTTTAAAATTGCAAGATCTGGGTTTTGGAGCATTTTTGGCTGACTCTCAACGGGTCTCAACATGTCGACGGTGAGCATGGCGGCTCATAGCAAGCAGTACTAACAGAGCTAGTATAATGTGCACTATTAGATATGGATAAAAGAAAACGTGCAAAAACAAGCCAAGATATTAGGACTTTTAGTGGGACTAAAAGTTCCAAAAACATTGGATTATAGCATGTGTCATTTGACCTTTTCAACTCCACAACCCCCGCAAGTCATCCAGAATACATTTTCAGACTACTACACTCAGAACAATTAGACAATGCATTTCATCATTGGTCTCCCTAAGATGTGTTCACTACAAATTCTGAAAGATGCTCTAAGCAGAACAATTTAAATGCATGCAACTCCATTATATATATGTAATACTGTTGGTAGGTTACACTCCTTAAATGCTTTGCCAGTGTTTCTTCATTCCCTTGCTGAACTGATATATCTGAAATATGATGTGTTCACTGTGAACACCATCTTAAGGGGGTGAAACCGATATGACAGTTCACCACATTACCGAATATAATGAGAGCCACATTTATAATGCAGCACAGTGCAATGCATTATTCCTGACATTTAACTGCCCTGGTGTGTTAAGCCTCTGCAATACTGCACTAAAAACAAGTTAAAACAAACTCTAAAAATGATTCACAAACACTGTGTGACACAGGTCACGTTTGCTCTGCATGACCTGAGGAGAATCCACTTTGGATCAAAACATGCTCTCATTAAATAGTGATGGCTTGCAGTGAAGGCTTTTTCCATTTCTTTAGTTTTTTTTTTTCATCCAAGTCTGAATTTCATCCTGCATCACTACCGACAGACCGAGATTAAAAGGATGGAGGAGTAAGAGAGGATGATGGAGAGGAAGAGACAGAGAGAGAGGGAGAGAGAGAGAGAGAGAGAGAGAGAGAGAGAGAGAGAGAGAGAGAG